TCCCGGACTAGAAAGCAATAGATTTCTTGCTTCTGCCACAAATTCCCCCAGCTATGAGCCTTCCAACCTTCTAAATATTCCTTTACATGTGGTTCAGAGTTCTGAGACCAGCCCCTGAGCCTGCTTGGTCAGGTATTCTGTGGTGTTGTTGGCGGAGCTCCTTTACTGCACTTCCACTCGATCCGCCATCTTGTTTGTTCTCCTCCAACACTGTGTTTTTACCTATCTTCAACAGAAATCATACAGTAGAGAGCCTCTACGAAAGTCTTGAAGGTAATCAGTGTCAGGAAACTTTCAGCCAGACTCCAGACCATACCGAGCTACCAGGAAATCCTCCAGCTGAAATCCCTTTAGAGTGCTGTGAGTTTGGAAAAGCCTTCAAGCATCCTGCTACTTCGCACGTTGGATTCAATATCTGCCAGTGTGTGGAATGTGGAGAAACCTGCAGCTGTCCCTCTCACCTCACCACTGCTGTGAGAACTCTTAATGGAAAGACACCCCATAAATATAAGGTATGTGGGGAAGACCTCATTTGTATCTCAGTCCTTAAAAATTCTGTGACCACACTTGCTGGTCAGGAACAATATGAATGCAATGAATGTGAGGGAAATTTCTGTGACTATAAAGAATGTTATGAGACACATAATCATTCTTCATCATTGATTTCACATGCATTTCATAACAGACTTATGCCTCATGAATATAGGGAATGTGGGCAAACATTTAGGGAGGCCTCATCCCTCACTGAACATGAAAGAACTTACAATGGAGAGAGGCCTTATGAATGTAAGGAATGTGGGAAAGCTTTCTGGCATCTCTCAGTCTTCTCTAAACATATCAGAACTCACAGTGGAGAGAGGCCTTATGAATGTCAGGAATGTGGGAAAACCTTCAGTGATTCCTCAATCCTCACTAAACATATAAGGACTCACGGTGAAGTTAAGCCGTATGAATGTAAGGAATGTGGGAAATCCTTCAGGCAACTCTCAACCCTCACTGAACATGTTAGAATTCACAGTGGAGAGAGACCTTATAAATGTAATGAGTGTGAGAAAGCGTTTATTAATGCCTCTTCTCTCACTGAACATATAAGGACTCACAATGAAGAAAAACCTTATGAGTGTATGGAATGTGGGAAAGCTTTTTGGCATCTCTCAGTCCTCTCTAAACATATCAGAACTCACAGTGGAGAGAGGCCTTATGAATGTCAGGAATGTGGGAAAGCCTTCAGTCAGGCTTCATCCCTAACTAGACATATCAGGACTCACAGTGGAGAGAGGCCTTACGAATGCCAGGAATGTGGGAAAGCCTTCAGTGATTCCTCAACCCTCAGTAGACATGTAAGAACTCACAGTGAAGTTAAGCCGTATGAATGTAAGGAGTGTGGGAAATCCTTCAAGGAACTCTCTACTCTCACTGAACATGTTAGAATTCACAATGGAGAGAGACCTTACAAATGTAACGAGTGTGAGAAAGCATTTGTTAACGCCTCTTCTCTCACTGAACATACGAGGACTCACAGTGGAGAGAGGCCTTACATATGTAAGGAGTGTGGGAAAGCTTTCACACATGCCTCCTCCCTCACTGAACATATCAGAACTCACAGTGGAGAGAGGCCTTATGAGTGTAAGGAGTGTGGGAAAGCCTTTTGGCATCTCTCAGTCCTCTCTAAACATCTAAGGACTCATAGTGGAGAGACACCTTATGAATGTCAGGAATGTGGAAAAGCCTTTAGTCAGGCTTCATCCCTAACCAGGCATACAAGAACTCACAGTGGAGAGAGGCCCTATAAGTGTAAGCAATGTGGGAAAGCCTTCAGTGATTCCTCAGCCCTCACTAGGCATATAAGAACTCACAGTGGAGTTAAGCCGTATGAATGTAAGGAATGTGGGAAATCCTTCAGGCAGCTCTCAACTCTCACTGAACATATTAGAATTCACAGTGGAGAGAGACCTTACAAATGTAAGGAGTGTGAGAAAGCATTTATTAATGCCTCTTCTCTCACTGAACATATAAGGACTCACAGTGGAGAGAGGCCTTATATATGTAAGGAGTGTGGGAAAGCCTTCACACATGCCTCCTCCCTCACTGAACATATCAGAACTCATAGTGGAGAGAGACCTTATGAGTGTAAGGAGTGTGGGAAAGCCTTTCGTCAAGCCTCCTCCCTCATTAAACATATAAGAACTCACAGTGGAGAGAGGCCTTACGAATGTAAGGAATGTGGAAAAGCCTTCAGTCAGGCCTCATCCCTCATTAAACATAAAAGAACTCACACTGGAGAGAGGCCCTATAAGTGTAAGGAATGTGGGAAATCCTTTACCCATGCCTCATCCCTCACTAGGCATAAAAGAACTCATGGTAGACAGAGGCCTTATGAGTGTAAGGAATGTGGGAGATCTTTCAGACAGCTCTCAGCCCTCACTAAACATATAATAACTCACTGGAGAGAAGCTTTATATATGTAAGGAATGTAGGAAAGTATTTACTTGTATCTTACCGTACACTACACATATAAAAATGCACAGTTGAGAAGTCTTCTGAAACTAAGGAATGTGAGAAACCCTTAAGATGTTCTTCACCCCTTACTACCGAAAGAATTCACAATTGAAGAGTTTTATGAGTGTAAGGTGTGTGGGGAAGCCTTTAGTTACTTATCACACCTCACTTAACAAATAAAGAAGTATTCAAAAAGCTCCCTTATATAAGAATTCACAATGGAAAGGGGGAAATTGTCAAAACTGGGATCGTTCATCTTCATTTCAAACAGCAAAATTTCAAAATGTTTTGCTTTAGCAACCGTTTCTCAGAGTAAAAAGCATTACTAGCTCCAGGTTTCGTTAGCGCTCCTTTGCCTTTGAAAGAAATGACTTAAATCTAGCAGTAACGCTGTCCCTATCGGTGTGTGTTACTTCCTCAGTCCAAGTTAAAGTCAACTTTCCTTAAAGTCTTTGGTCATTACAAATGGCATTGCAGGAAACAACCCCTGAAGAATGTGGCTTTTTACTTCTTAATGTTTTATTGATGTAATATTGAATGCAATAAAATATACCGATCTTGTATTTGGTTTAGAGTGTTTGGTTTCCATTTTTGTAGTGTTTCTTTTCATTCTTTTCTGTTGGGAAGTTAGTTATTTTACCCTTTACCATTAGTAACTTGATACAATGAAACTGTGCACATAATCTTTTTTCATCTTATTTTGGGCCTACTTTTAATACTCAGATAATTATTGCCTATGGTTATAACATAACATAACAACAACAACAACATGGTTATAATTACTGTGGTACTTACCAAATGATATTTTCTGTTCAAGTCCTGTCTTCTTTATTAAGAATTCTGCAAGGGATGGTTTTCCCTTCTCACACCTTTATTTATGTCTTGTTTTTACCAGGAAAGGCTAATCCATATTAATTTCTCTTCTTTTTTTTATTCAGGTTGTCCCACATTTGATTTGGGGGCGCTCCCCTTAAATTGTTCTTGTTAAGTGTGGTCAGGTCAGTTCTGAAGCGTAGCAACCGTTAGGTACAGCAGAGCGAAACGCTGCCCATCCCTTCACCGTCCTCACAGATGTCACTGTGTTTGAGTTGTTTTTCCGTCCACTGCATGAGTCCATCTCCTGCTGTGGTGCTGGAGGGTCAGCCACTAGATCTGCCGTTCAAACCCATTAGCTGCTCCTCGGAAACCCTGTGCAGGCTTGCTGTGAGTTGGAACCAACTGGACTATGAGTCCGTCTCATTGAGAGTCTTCTTCACTAACTGTCTACCTGACCCAGCATAACATCCTTCTCTAGGGACGGGTCCTTCCTGATAATGTGTGCACCGTCTCACCATGCTCACCTTGAAGGATCAGAGAGGTATTTGTACTTCTCTCTTCTGGCAGTTGTATGGTACATTCAATAGTCTTCCCTAACTTTCTTCATCATGCTTCAAATACATATATTCTTCTCCAGTGTTCCTTACTCATTTTCCAGCTATCACGTGCATATGAGGCAATTGCAATGTGTCTTCGGACAGACCCCCTTGATCATCTTACATCCTTGAGAAAGACTATATCAAAGATGACCACTTAGGAATCCCAGAAAACTGTCACTGTAGCCTCCTGAGCTGATCTCTCTGCTGTGTTTAACAAGACTAGCAGATCCCGGCAGAAGCCACTTTTGATTGGCCCTTGAGCTCTGGATCATACCTGTAAATCCAAGACCCATCCCTCATGATGAATTCCATAAAATTATCCTTATTGGCTTCAATTTTGTTCTTTAAGCTTGCTGATCTTTGCACGGCATTTTGGGCACTGGAAGTTTGTTGAAATCAAGATGTTCACTTACAGTGGAAAGTGCCAAACCATGTAAGGTCCCGACTTCAGGAACGATTGCATCAGTAGTAACCCAACAACCCTACAGTCTTCGTCCACCAGTTTCTGGACTTCAGCCAATTTCTCAATTTGTAGAAGTTGGTTTTCTTCCCTTTTTAGACTCATCTTTGAGATCTCTCTGACCTTGGTCCATCTCAAAACTTGTTTTAAGTGGGGTATGGTGGTGGTAGGCTGTGGAGTTGGTTACAACTCATAGTGACCCTGTATAGAGTTTCCGAGGGGCGGCTGGTGAGCTTGAACCGCCGACGTTACAGTTCAAACAAGACTTTGCAGTCCAGCGCATTAACCCACATCACCACGTCAGACTTTGCAGTCCAGCGCATTAACCCACAAGCCATAGAATCCTTCCATACCGCAAGTCAAGGCTTGAACATTTGTCTTCAGTTCCCTCAGCTTTAGAAATGGTGAGCGTGTTCTTCCCTTTTGGTTTTGTAACTCCAGGTCTTTGCACGTGTCCATATTACATTTGACTTTGTCTTCTTGAGCTGACCTTTGAAATTTTCCGTTTAGTTCTCCTACCTCCTCATTTCTTCCATTTGCTTTAGTATCTCTATGCTGGACAGCAAGTTTCAGAGACTCTTCTGACATCCATTTTGATCTTTTCCTTCTTGTCTTCTTAATGACATTTTGCTTTTTTCCTATATGATGTTCTTGATGACATCCCACAACTCTTCTGGTCTTCGGTCTTTAGTGTCTAACTTATCAATTCTGTTCTTGAGATGAGCCCTAAATTCAGGTGGGATATGTTCAAGGTTTTTATTTTTTGGTTTTTATTTTGCTCTTATTGACTTATTTTGAATTTCTTCAGTTGTAGCCTGAAATTACATATGAACAATTTATGATCTGTTTCATAATCTACCCTGGCCTTGTTTGGGCTGATGCTATCCCTATGGAGCTTTTCCACTGTCTCTTTCCACAGATGTAGTCAGTTTGATTTCTGTGTATTCCAGCTGGCGAGGCCCATGTGTATAGTCAGTGTTGTTTTATGTTGTTTAAAAAGGTATTTGCAATGAAGAAGTCGTTGGTTTTGCAAAATTCTATCATGAGACCCCCCCAGCATCATTTCTGTCACCAAGACCATATTTTCCAATGAGCAATTATTCCTCTTTTTTTTTTTTTCCAACCTTTGCATTCCGTTGGCCAGTGATGGTCAATACATGTTGACTTTATGTTAACTGTCACAATTGACATAGGTGAGAGGAACCCTGGGGGAACTGTGAGGGTAAGCACTGGACTGCTAACCACAAGCTAGGCAGTTCAAACCCACCAGCTGTTCCATAGGGGAAAGATGAGGCTGTTTGCTCCTGTGAAGATTGACAGCCTCAGAAACCGTATCAGGGTGACTGTCTGGATACTTGATTCACGGCAGTGGTTTTGGGGACTTGAGAGAAGAAGGGGTGGGGTGGGTGGACTCTGGAAAGAGAAACAAGGGTGGAACCTCTGCTCAGCAGTTGTCCACGGGTCCCTTGATGAACCTGAAAACAGATGTGGGTGGACTCAGGAGCTGCTGGAACAGCCGTTCACACAAGAGTGACAACCACCAGCTGCCATTTCAGTCACAACCTGTAAAAGAACCTAAATCTGGAGCCACATCGCCTTCTGGGTGTATAGGAACTGGGGGTAGCTCCAAGTTCACTACAGGTCAGGGCCTGTAGGAGGACCAGGGGCCCTGGTTGATACAAGGACACCCTTATCTTTGAAATCCTATGCGGTTTGAAGCTTCCCACCCACTCCCCATCTTCACAATGATGGGTATGAAAGAAAGTCTGTTCACAGGCACCAAGCATTTGTGACCCTATAAATAGGTCATATTCCCTCGAGCCATATCAAGTTTATATTCCCCCAACACCGAGTACATTACTGAAAAGGATAGGTGTCCTCCAGGAAGCCCACTGTGCTTTCAGCCTTGTGTCACCTGGGAAGAAACTAGGCAGGCCCTGGTGTGTGACCATGGTCTCAGGAACTTAAGGTGATTCTCCCATTCATGCTGCAACCCCAAGCATAATGTCCCTGTTGGGAGCTTTGAGTTGAAGCAGGCAGGTGTGCTGTGTTGGACCGCTATTGTATTCTTTAGCATCCTTCTAATGCTGTCCGCTCAGGACAATTTGCATTCACCTGGAAGGGACAACAATGAACATGGCCGGTGCTGCCTCAGGGATGCCTACACAGCCCCACCATTTCTGTGGTTATGGATGCTGTGAACCCGATTCCCCTCTGCTGCTCTTTGCTCTCATTTTGCCAACAACATGTAAATGCTTACAAGATGATCCAATCGTCCACCTACCAGGAAGAGGATGGGCTGGGAGCCCCAAAAGGTGCAGGAGTCAGGAACCTTAGTAAATCCCTAGAGGCCATCTGGGAAGGTAAGACCCCTGTGCTGCCTGAAGCCATAGCTGAGAAGATACACGTTTACCCCACACCTAGGAGGCCAACAGGAATGCAAGCCATTGCAGGCCTTTTAGGGTATGGAGGGTATTATACCCCAGTCTGCCCATGTTTGAGACCACTCTATCGAATGGTTCGGAGAAACGGGAGGAAATGCTTCTGGGAACTGGGCCACAGAGCAGCAGGAATCTTTCGAGGAAGTAGAAGTGAAAGCTTTGTTCACTACTAGAATGGCTGTTCCTCAAGCTAGACAAAGGCAGCACAGGTTGGCTTTGTGGAAAGATCAAAACGGAAGTAAGGTTCCTGTAGAATTCTGGTCTCAGGTGTGATGAGGGGCAGAAAATCAACACCATCCCATAGAAAATTGTTAGTGGCCTGGAACGCTCTCCACTAAGCATTGTAACAAGGAGCTCTGGTTGTGTAGTGGTTACGAATCGGGCTGCTAACCTCAAGGTCAGCAGTTCGAAATGACCAGCTGTTCCACAGGTGGGAGAAAGATGAGGCTTTCTTCCCCTGTAGAGATTTACAGCCAGCCACGGAAACCCTGTACAGGGTCCCTATGTGTTGGAATGGCTTCCACAGCACATAACCACCACCAAGCCTTATAACGGGAGGGAGCTGTAACACAGGTGTGTAACCACCACCAATCCTTATAACAGGGGAGGGAGCTGCAACACAGGTGTGTAACCACCACCAAGCCTTACAACGG